AAAAAAATAAAGGGAACACTCAAATAACACATCCTAGATCTGAATGAATGAAATATTCTCATTGAATACTTTGTTCTGTACAAAGTTGAATGTGCTGACAACAAAATCACACAAAAATCATCAATGGAAATCAAATTTATTAACCAATGGAGGCCTGGATTTGGAGCCACACACAAAATTAAAGTGAAATGTTCCCTTTATTTTCTTGAGCAGTATATATATATATATATATATATATATATATATATATATATATATATATATACACACACACAGACAGACAAAAAGTTTGGACACACCTTTTCATTCAAAGAGTTTTATTCATTTACATTAATATGAAATATGAAAATTGTAGATTCACACTGAAGGCATCAAAACTATGAATTAACACATGTGGAATTATATACTTATCAAAAATGTGTGAAACAACTGAAAATATGTCTTATATTCTAGTTTCTTCAAAGTAGCCACCTTTTGCTGTGATTACTGCTTTGCACACACTCTGCATTCTCTTGATGAGCCAGCCAGCAGGGGGCACTAAGACGCCATGAACTGTAAACCTCGAAGGAGAAGAAGAATAGCGTTAGCTGCTAGCTGTTGTTAGCAGAGCTCCAGGACAACGCGGCCTGCAGAAGCGGGGAACCGTGAGTGGTTCTGGCCGCTCTGAGGACCTTGTTGAGGAGCCGGTTGGATCAGAACCAGCCGGTCCAAAAGAAGCAAATGGTAAAACCATAAAAGTTCGGCTGAATCTGTATCAGACCGAAGGTGAGTCCATGGAGACCCTCACTGAGACCCCCGCTGTGCTGCAGCCCCGTTGGAAGCGGGTCCTGGGCTGGACCGGCCCGGTTCCGCGACCCAGGCACGGACACCGGGCCGTTTCCATCAAGGAGCTGATGGTTGTGTTCGGAGGGGGAAACGAGGGAATCGTGGACGAGCTCCACGTCTATAACACAGGTGGGTCCGAACGGGAGCCGGGCTTAGTAACGGGTTCGGGGTGTAAACTGTGGAGTAGGTCGGGTTCTGGGCTCTAAACCGGGGAATAAGTCGGGTGTGGGCTCTTAGCCAAGGAAATGAACGCACCGCGGGTTTTAAAGAGGGGAGTATGGGCGGGTCCTGGGGTTTAACCCGCGACGTTTTCGCCTTATCAGGCAGTCGGTGCTTGTGGACCGGAGCTCCCTGGTTCCCGGTCACTCTGGCTGCGGGGCTCCGCTCTCCCTGGAGCTTCAGCGTTAGCATGTAGCAGTTAGCCTGTAGCTCCTACCAACCGCTCAGACACACGGTGAAAAATGGCGCCTTTTTACTGAAAACACTGGTGACGTCACATCACCCCGCCCACACCGAGGAGGTGAAAATAACCAAAAAAAGCCCAAACAAAGAGCGGCTATTATGACTGTTTTTATTTAGGGATGATGAACAGAACTAGGTCCAGAAAATACAGATTGAAACCAGAGAACAAAAGAACCACCACCTCAACCCCCCACTGACCGAGCTGACCCAACCCCCGCCCAGGGCCTGAGCAGCAGGAGGGGGATGGAGATCAATGAATGAACAACAAAGGAAATATAAATGTAATGAGTTCTCATTCAGTAGGACCACAGTATAGAACCAATACAGAGCTAGTGCACAAAACCAGTACAGGTTGTGAAACAGAACCGGGTCAGTCCCAGGCAGCAGAACCCTCCCTTTGTAGAACCTCTGAACACCTGGTGTGTTGCCAGGTCTCTTGGTATTATATTACTGTGTGATGTAGATCCTGTGACTAACCAGAAGCCCCGCCCCCCAGCCACCAACCAATGGTTCATCCCGGCGGTGCGTGGCGACATCCCTCCTGGCTGCGCCGCCTACGGCTTCGTGTGCGACGGGACACGGCTGCTGGTGTTCGGAGGGATGGTGGAGTATGGCAAGTACAGCAACGAGCTGTATGAGCTGCAGGTGAGTGATGTCACCAGAGGCGGGGCTAACGGCGCTGCCTGCCGGAGGCGGGGCTGACCGGACTGTGACGCTCCTGCAGGCCAGCCGCTGGGAGTGGAAACGTCTGAAGGCCAAACCACCGAAGAAAGGCCCGCCCCCTTGCCCGCGCCTCGGACACAGCTTCTCTCTGACTGGTTCCCGCTGCTTCCTGTTTGGCGGCCTGGCCAATGACAGCGAGGATCCTAAGAACAACATTCCCAGGTAGGAACTGCCACCCCGCCCCTCACCTGACCTTCTGCCCTCTGAACCTGACTGTGGCCCAATCCCTCAGGTACCTGAACGACCTGTACTGCCTGGAGCTGCGACCCGGTTCCACGGTGGTCAGCTGGGAGATCCCGCCCACTTCAGGGCCGCCGCCGCCGCCCAGGGAGAGTCACACGGCGGTGATGGCGAGCAGGGGCGGAGTCAGCCGGCTGATCATCTATGGTGGGATGAACGGCTGCCGGCTGGGAGACCTGTGGGTCCTGGACATAGGTGAGGCGCCACAGAGTCCGGGTCCAGGTTGGTCCAGAACTCTGACCTGGTTCCAGATGTTTCAGATGTGTGCAGCTTCCTGTTTGTCTGTAAGCCCATCTCCTGATTGGTTCTTGTCCTGATGATGTCACAGACTCTCTGGTGTGGAGCCAACCATCTCTCAGTGGGACGCCGCCCCTCCCCCGCAGCCTGCACTCTGCCACCGTCATCAACCACAAGTACTGCACACACACCGGGCCAGAACCGGGCCTGAACCACTGCACACACACCGGGTCAGAACCGGGCGTGTCTCAGGTGTGTGTTCCATGTATCTGCTCCTTGTGGGGCCCAAAGACCCACATCACTGCTGTGTGGTTCAGGACTGGGGGGTTGAACTGCGTTTTGGTTCGGCTGCAGAAATGAGTGGAAGTCGATGAAAAATCCCCACAAAGACAGCATGACGAACGTGTGTGTGTGTGTGTCAGGATGTACGTGTTTGGAGGATGGGTCCCTCTCATTGAGGACGACGTCAAGATGGGAACCCATGAGAAGGAGTGGAAGTGCACCAACAACCTGGCCTGCCTCAACCTGGGTAAACACACACCCGAACACACTCTCCTCAAGCCCCGCCTAGCGCTCACCTGTGTGTGTGTGTAGAGACGATGTGCTGGGAGACGGTTCTGATGGACGGCGATGAGGAGAACCTTCCCAGAGCGCGGGCCGGCCACTGCAGCGTCGCCATCAACTCCCGCCTCTACATCTGGAGCGGCCGCGACGGATACCGCAAGGCCTGGAACAACCAGGTGTGCTGCAAAGACCTGTGGTACCTGGAGACAGGTGAGGACGCCGTCCTGCAGGTACCGTCCCCTGTTGTGATGGTGCAGAGGGAGCGGTTTCTATTGGATAGAGAATGATGATGTCATCATGTGATGCTATTCTAGCCAGTAGATCATCTGCTGCGTTTTCAGACGTAAACCCAAAGGAACCAGCTGAATCCACCTGTCTGTCTCACCTGTCCGTGTCCCTCAGAGTGTCCCATGGCGCCGTCCCGGGTCCAGCTGGTCCGGGCCAACACCTCATCCCTGGAGGTGAGCTGGGGGCCGTCCAAGACCGCCGACACCTACCTGCTGCAGCTGCAGAGGTACGACATCCCGGCCACACCTGGCTCCACGCCCGCTGCCGCAGCACCAGCCGGCCACGCTGTCCCTCCGCCCGCCGCCGCTCACGGCGCCACGCCGCCTGGAAGCCCATCAGCTGCAGGTAGGTTTACCTGGACAGGTGGGTGTGTGGTGTGACTCTTTCTCACCTGTTATGTTTCTGCAGCAGTCCTGAAGATGGTGACAGCGCCCGGTGCAGCCATGGCGACGCTTCCTGCAGGTGTTCGCCTGTCGTCGCCTGGTCAGACGGTAAGGACGGTCTGTGTCTCCTCGGCCGTCGGAAACGGATCCGTTTCCACGGTAACCCTCCTGTCTACTTCTCAGCCAATCGGCAGCAGCCCCCAGATGAGCGGCATGGCGGCCCTGGCGGCGGCGGCAGCAGTGACACAGAAGATCCCTCCGTCCTCGGCGGCCGTCCTCGGCGGCGTGAAGACTGTGAGTTGCCATGGTGACGTCACGATTGGAGGAAGTTAAAGAAGCTGCTGGAGGCGCTGGGTGATGACATCATCATTCCTGTTCCAGGTCAAAAACCCGGCCACACGTCTGCTGAAGACGGCCGCCGCTCAGGTGGGCGTTGCTTCGGTAGTCCCCGCCTCCACGGCGCAGAGCCGGCCAATCATCACCGTGCATAAGTCCGGCTCAGTGATGGTCTCCCAGCAACCACAGGTGGTCACCACTGTGGTGGGCGGAGTCACCAAGACCATCACCATTGTCAACAGCCCCATTAGCCTGGGAGGAGGCGGGGCTTTGGTGAGTGATGTCATCTATGGCAAGCCGTTTAACATAATATCAGCTGAACGGCTTGCTTGGAAACATCTGCTTCTCTTTCAGATTGGTAACCTTGGCAACCTGGGGAAGATGGTGTCTGTGGTCCAGACCCGACCGGTCCAGAGCGGAGTGGTTACTGGTCAGGCTGGGAGCAGCCCAGTCACTCAGATCCTCCAGGTAACAACCAGAGATCAGTCCTCAGCACAGACTGGACCTGTGGTTCTGGACCTCTGGGCGCTAGTGTCGAGTCCAGCGATTAGATCGAGTTTAACTCCGCCGCTTCCTGTCAGACGAAGGGCGCGCTTCCTGCGGGAACCATCCTGAAGCTGGTGAGCACCGCGGACGGGAAGCAGACCGCCATCATCAGCACGGCGCAGGCTGGCTCCAATAAGCCCGCCATCATCAAGACCATTCCGCTGTCGGCTCTGCAGGGAGCAGCAGGTACGCCGCGCTCACCTGAGCCGCCGCGCCGAGTGGGACCCGCTACTAACGCAGGCTCCGCCCCCTGCAGGTGGGAACAGTCCAATCACCATCCTGAGCTCCAAGTTGGGAACTCCAGGAACAGAGAAGTTGATCAACGCCATCCCCAGGATGTCCGCCGGCCAGCAAGGGGTCACACAGGTGAGACAGCATTCTGAGGTCACGGCGGCGTACAGGTGAGGCCCTGCCAGGTGTTCACCCCTCTGTGTGCTCAGGTGGTGCTGAAAGGAGCCCCCGGGGTGCCTGGTACCATCCTCAGAACCGTCCCGATGAGCGGAATCAGGCTGGTGTCTCCGGCCGCCACTGGCACCAAGCTAGTTGTCAAGGGAACCACAGGTAAGCGGTGCAGGTGAGGCGTCGCTAACAAGGTGCCAGCGCAGGTCATGTGACTGTTTCCTGTCTGCAGGCGTCTCCAGCCTGGGGACGGGAACAGGAAGCGTCTCTGCCGCCTTGTTGGGGGGAACCTCGCTGACCACACCCACCGCCTCATTAGCCAGCCAGGTTGCCACAGCAACCGCCTCTGGACCCAGACAGGTAACTGCTGCAGGGTTGAACTCATTTAGCCCCGTCCCGCTCCGACGATCCTACTGCTTCCTGTCTGCAGGTGACACTGATCACGACGCCCAGCGGCGCTGAGCCGCAGCCGCTGGTCCAGGACCTGCCGGTCTCCTTCATGGCCTCCCCGACCTCAGAGGAACCTGGCAGCACCACAGGTACCACTACCACCACTAACGCCGGGGGAGACGCTGCCACAGGTAGCTGCTGCACCTGAACACCTGTAGAGCTCAGGTAGCCGTGTCACAACGCTGATCAGCTGCTTCTGGTCTCTAACCATGCAGCGGTGACTCTGGTCTGCTCCAACCCCCCCTGTGAGACCCATGAGACCGGAACCACCAATACCTTCACCACTGCTGGAGCTGGCGGAATCCAACAGGTGAGACGGCACCTGTCACTGCAGGTGATCAATCTGAACTGAGACATTTTATACCTTCCAGCATGGAGGTATGGAAAACCAGAGGTGCCACAATTTCAATAGATGAAGTTGAACAGTAACTAGATAATTTCTGAAGAACTTTAAATAAGGCCTGTCAAAGTGTGCGTATCGGTCGGACCTGAATCTGATGAATCCTGATGCTGAGTTAAGTTCTGCAGGCCTCAAGTTTGAGTGTGAAACTTGGCAGCTTAGCATGTCATGAAATGCTAAGTTTAGCTAAAATGCTTTCAGTAACGTGGGCTTTCAATTGCATCCAGTTGCTCCATGAGTATGTTATGTCTAGCTTATAAATCAAAATTAGCTGATAATAATGCTATAACTATCATGTTGACTAACAGCAGTTTATGTGGTAAATTTGGCTAAAAAGATTAAGTTCAGCTAAAATACAGTCAATAGCATGTTGATCTGCAATAATGTTCTCCATGCTAATGGCAGTGTATAAACTACAATTAGCTAAAATGCCATGTTTACTTTAAATTGAAGCATCAGTGTGGGCTAACACTACCAATGGCTTTCTGCGTTCACTATGTTAAACTTTGCTATTATATCTAAAATGAGTTAAAATGCTAATGTTAGCACATTGATTTACTAGCTTGAAAATGGACTGTCCAGAGGACTTTGTGGCGGTGAGCTACTGGACCGTAGCCACTACTGCCCTGGGCCCTCTGACCACACCGGTTACCACAGTAACGCATGCCACGCCCACACCGAGTCCGATTGCGCGTCATGTTTTGGGGAGCGCTGTGGCTGTGTTAAATTCTGAAGGCTTTGTGATGCAGAGAACAAGAGGTTTCTCCATGCGTTGCCATGGAAACCCCAAAAATGAAGTTTGTGTTGGCAGGTATGTTCCAACCCCCCCTGTGAGACTCATGAGACCGGAACCACCAACACCGCCACCACCGCTGGAGCCGGCGGCGTCCAGCAGGTGAGGCAGCACCTGTCAGGTTCCTGCTAATCTGTGATTGGTCCAGGTGAGGTAATGACCTGTTTGTTCTGACAGGTGTGCTCCAACCCCCCATGTGAGACTCATGAGACCGGAACCACCAACACCGCCACCACCGCTACAGGTAGCTGCTCTCGCCTGGTTCTGGTACTTTTGGACTTTTTTTTTTTTTTTGGGGTGTGGTTGTGACATCACTTCCTGTCCCTTTGCTGTGCAGCTCACCAGAGTGGAGATGGTCTCCATGGAGACGCCACAGACTCCGCCTCCTCATCTGATGCTGCCGTCAGTCAGAGTGCAGCGGTTACCACAGTAACGCATGCCACGCCCACACCGGGTCCGTCTGTCCCGGTACGTCTGTCACCCGTTCTTGTTTAGTTAGGACAGACTTGGAGCATCACCTGGAGACACACCTGCCCAGGTTCCTGCGGGGGGCGGAGCCTGGCAAGCTCACTGGATACCGACTGGACTACCCAGCAGGTTCTGGCCCGGTTCTGATGTCTGGTCCTCTCTGCAGGATCTCTCCTCATTGGTTGGTGCTGAAAGGGTGGAGTCTGAAACCCTCGCCATGGCAACAGGAGAAGAGGAGGAGCCAGCAATGACAGACAGCCAATCAGACGGCATGATGTCATCAGGAGTGTCGGCGCTGCAGGTTCAGGTGAATGCTGGTGCAGCGTCAGGTAACTCCGGCATGTGCACATGCTAAGTTTGGCTCCGCTCCCGACCCAGATGGCGTCTTCAGACGGAGGTCTTCCTCAGCAGCTGATGTCATCAGAGGGGGACGGAGGTGAGGAGATCTCCAGGACAATGACCTTCACACTGACGACGGGACGGGTCCCAGACCAGATGGCTGTTGCCTTGGCGACTGAGGGAGCAGCCAGGAGCATCGGTGAGACAGTGAGAGGACAGAGACGTCTCCGCGTTCGCCGTCGTCTCTAAAGATGTTGGTGTGTCTGCAGGTGAGGCCAGCCAATCAGGCGACCAGGCCGTCCGTATCGTTCTGACACCACAGGAGCTGGCGGCGCTGGTCCAACAGCAGCAGGAACCAGAACCAGAACACAGCAGGGTGCCCACAGGTAGAGTCAGGCACAGTTCTCTCTGTGTCGGCTGGGGAACCTGGACTCACTCAGCCTGGTTCTGGTTCTGTTACAGAGGGGCTCGCCCCGGCTGACAGCCTGAACGACCCGACCGCAGAGAGCCACGCCTCCCAGCCCGCCGCCGCCGTCATCAGCGCCGTCGCCCGGCTGGCCAGCACATTCAGCCCCACCCCTTTGGTGACGGAGACCAAGAGCATGGCTGTCGCTATGGCGACGGAAACCATCAACGGCATCAGAGAGCCGCCTCCTGTAAGACAACAAGGACGCATCGGTACCGGTAGACAGCAGAACCAAAGACCCACATAAGAAAAGAATAAAAACAATAGTATAAAGATGCTAAGATCATGCTAGCAACATTCTGACAGCATGCTAACATGGCAGAATCACCGACTATAACTAACCGTAATCCACTCCATCAACATGCCAAGAATACAGACGAGATGCCATCAACTCACCCTGAACACGCTGACAATGACCATCTAGCATGCTAGGAATATACATACAACATGTTAACAGCACAGTGACATTCTAACCGCCTGCTCAGAACACAGCAGTCGCCAAAGGCTGGCCGACGTACCAGGAACACGCCATCCTTTCATTAACATCCCGTTCATTTTTCCAAACATGCTAACGGCACGCGACAAACACTGAAGCATCGTTGTGTTGCAGGAACCGACCATTCGTGTGAAGTCGGCGCCGAAGGAGAACCCTTGGTTTGACGTCAGCATCATGAAGGTCACCAACGCCGTTGTGACTCACTACTACGTTCCCTACGACGACGATGCGCTGGAGGTACGTACCGGCCGGGGGGACTGATGGAGTCGTCGTGGTCGTGCTGACGGGTGTTGTGTACCTGCAGGATGACTGCGGGGCGGCGCCGGACTACAGCCAGATGAGGAGGGTGGAGCTTCAGCCGGGAACCGCCTACAAGTTCCGGGTGGCGGGGATCAACATCTGCGGCCGCGGCGCCTTCTCCGAGGTGGCGGCGTTCAAGACGTGCCTCCCTGGGTTCCCTGGAGCGCCGTGCGCCATCAAGATAAGCAAGGTGAGTTCCTGCCGTTACCATGGAAACTCGTGTCCTGTCCTGGGCGTCCAGGACAGGACGCCCATGCGCGTTTCTGTCCCTCCAGAACCTGGGCGGGGCCCAGCTCACCTGGGAGCCGCCTGCCGTCACCGCGGGGAGCATCACAGAGTACTCGGTGTACCTGGCCATCCAGTCCAGCCAGGCCAAGCCGCCTGGTTCTGGCCCGGCCCAGCTGGCCTTCATGAGGGTGTACTGTGGTTCTGATCCGTGCTGCCTGGTTCAGGCCTCCACCCTGGCCAACGCGCACATCGACTACACCACCAAGCCCGCCGTCATCTTTCGCATCGCCGCCCGCAACCAGAAAGGCTACGGGCCGGCCACGCAGGTCCGATGGCTGCAAGGTCAGAACCAGAACCGGACCAGAGGAGTTCTGCCCCACTGTGACAACGCTGCTGATGTCTGTTTTCTGTTTCCATAGAAACCGGTAAAGACTCCAAGCCGGCGCCAAAGAGAAGTGGAGCTTCTCAGGGAATGTAAAAACTGGCGCCGCATCCCAGAATCCCACCTGACACAAAGATGGTTGCCAAGAACTCAACATGCTCCGCCGGAACCGGAGCTCACTGATACCGGACCTTGGTTCTGCTTTCATCAATCAGCTGATACCAACAGCGGATGGTGTCGAAGGTCCAAACCCGACAGGCAGCTGCTCCGGAGGTTCTGAAACTCCTCCAACTCATTTCTATTCGGGTCCAGTTACATCAGCATCCAATCAGATGGGCTGATGGTTCTGAAGGTTCTGGAGCTCCTCCATCATACTGTGAGGTTCTGGTCCAAACTCTGTTCTCCTTCAGAACCAACCCAACACAATGTGAAGAGTCAGAACCGGCTCCCTCCCAGTCGGTTTCTGTTCCTGATTTTAAACCATGAAAACACCAGAACCAGAATTTTCTTGAATGTTGGACTGTTTGCTCATTTGGATCCGTTCAGTTCTGAACTGTCTCCGAACTCCTGACCCGATGCAGGCGGAGCTTAAAGACAACAGGTGTGTTCAGGTGACGTCCCCTGGGTCAGAACTTTGGTTTTTCTTTGAGTTCTGGTGTTTAGTGGGTGGAGCCTGAGATGACTGAGAAGCCCTAAAGTGGGCGGAGTCTCGAATGTGGGCGGGGCCTGGTGTAAAAAAAAATTCTTAAGCTTTAATAAGACAAGTTTTCGGTTTTCTTTCTGTTGACGGAGGGCTCTGATTGGTCGCTCGTGCTGATGTTTAATATTCTCTGGAACAATAAAGATTTTTAGAGCATTTTTATTGGCTGTGTGGAGTCAGATTTCTGCTGGCACCTGTAGATGGGCGTGGCCTGTGTTGGACAGGTGCAGCAATCAGCAGGATCATATTTCAGTCACTGGGAGGTCCAGATACTACCAGAACATTCTAGTAAATTCTTTTTTTCAGTTGTATTCCAATTTTTAATAAATGTCACCATTTAGTAAGACATGGTTGTTTATTTGCTAATATTTAGCTTAGCTGATATGGCTACTATTAGCCTGGCTGATGACAGGAAGTGAACTACCAAGATAAAAGCTGGGTCTTCCGAAACACTATATAAATTGCTTTTGAGATGTTTCTTGTCACACCTCTTATCATTTATTTTCCTCTTGTCCAGTATTTCAGCTGAGCCATTTTAAAAGCAGTACAGAAGTTTACTAATTGATCTATAGAGCTTTGGAACGTGACGTCACTGCCGTAGACGGAGGGACACCAGCGCCATCTTTGGGGTCCTCTCTGTTAAACATAACTGACAAAAACAACAGTGTCGCAGATTTTTTTAATCCAAGTTACTTAAAATGATTTAGCTATGGCACGAACTTGCTGCGTTATTGAATGTAATGTCCGATCACACGACTGAAACGGTAAAAACATGGAAAACGGACTTTCTTTCCACTATTTTCCTGCTTGGAAACAACGCGTGGAAGCTAAGCTAACAGAGCTAACGAAATGAAGACGGATGTCTTGGTATCAGCGATATTACCTTCTCCAACATCCCCAGATACCTACAAGTTTCCTCCAGATATTTCCATTCTTGTGAGTGTCTGTCACGATGTGAGGAAAGACAGGAGAAGCAATCGTCGGTTGGAAAGCCGAACTTCTTTATTTAGCTAGAACACGAGGTAACAACATGAACAGCTTCTTATACGAACTCGTTTTTCCGGTATATCCTCCTAGTGCTCCCCCCAATGGTCAGGAAACCAATAGAAACTAATCTCACAAAATCTCCCCTCTTTTAAAGTTAAACATTGCAATATCCAAAACATCAGGAAATTAGTTTAATATCTTAAATGATACTTAAATCCTACATTTCTAATTTAATGAATTACTCCATTTAATTTAATCTTTAGCTGTCACATCTCTTTTCAACAAAGGCTTCTTTCAGACATTAAACTTGGATGTTTTCAGAACAACTTCCCTACATTTTTTTTTTAGCGGTTATCAAATCGATACAGAACAATACAGGATATCACAGGGGTAGACTGCCCTCAGTCCTGATAGGGATTATTATGCCCTTTTGAATCTTATCAGTCTCTGAATCTCAGAGGCAGTTTTATTTCACGTCCCCTGGAAGTTGTTCTCACAGGAGTAGATGGTGGGAAGGAAGGTCCTGAGGAAGGGCTCGCTACTGGCTGATTTGATGGTGCTTCAGATGGAATGGCCACCTATACAGTCTTGCTCTGGCACTGCAGACTCAACCATATGATGTGCTTCAGAAGCATCCGTCCCAGGGATCTCCTGAAGGTGACGTCTGTTGCAACGGGTCACGCTCCCCTTGGCCATTTCTACGAGGTAGGATCTTGGCTCCTTGGACTTGCTGATGACTTTGGCAGGCGTCGTCCACCCTTTTTCCCCTTCAAGTTTCACTCTCATATTTTGACCAGCGAGAAGTTCAGGAAGAGGGCGAGCTGAATATCTGCGGTTGTAGAAGAATCTGTAAGAATCTTTAGCTTTGGCATCCTTTACGTAGACTAGGTCTGGGTTGACGGCGCTTGGCATCAATGTTTTTTCCAGGACAGGAACAGTGGTGCGGATCTGTCGGCCAGTCATAAGTTGCGCTGGACTGGAACCTGTTGCTGCTACTGGTGTGGAGCGGTAACTCATAAGGGCTAAGCAGGGGTCAGGCTGTTTGAGGATGTACTTGGCAGTCTGAACACCCCTTTCTGCAGCTCCATTAGACTGCGGGTAATGGGGGCTTGAGGTTATGTGAGTGGACCCATACCTCTGCTTGAATTCTTGGAACTCTGACGATATAAACTGTGTCCCGTTATTGCTGACGAGTTCCAGCGGGATCCCCCATCTCACAAACATGTGTTTGAGCTTGTTGATAACTTGGGTGCTGGAAGCGGTGGTGAGAGAAGCGATTTCAATGTCCCTAGAAAAATAATCAACAGCAACAAGATAAGTCTTACCCTCATGCACAAACAGGTCCACTGCAATTCTCTGCCATGGACCACTGGGCAGAGAAGTTGTCATCAGTGGTTCATGTCTCTGTGTAGGCTTGTGCTCTCTGCAAAAATCACAGAACTTCACTTTGTTTGTGATCTGTGCACCAATCTTCGGCCACCACACCGTCAACTTCGCTCGCTCACGACACTTGGTGAGACCCTGGTGGCCTTCGTGTAGTTGGTCTAAAACACCAGCTCGGAGTGTTGTTGGAACTACGATGCGGTCATGATATAGGACCAGTCCGTCCGACTCCGATAGGTGACTTCTGGCTGCATAGTATCCGTGCAGTAGTGAGCTCTGTGCAATGTTGCGAGGCCACCCTTTTCTGATAAACGTGATTACTTTTTGAAGCTCAGCGTCGTCTCGTGTAGTCTGGCGGAGCTCCTCCAGCTTTGGTGACCTGATTGGTTTGCTAGCCACCATAGTGTTGACATATGCCTTTACTTGTGTTTCAGTTTCTGGACCACAACTGTCTTTCAATGGATGTCTGGAGAGTGTGTCGGCAACTATGAGCTGTTTGCCGGGAGCATGTTCTGCGGAGACCTTGAACCTCATAAGACGCATAAGTAGTCTCTGGCATCTTAGTGGCATTTTGTCAAGATCATAAGAGTTGATTAGTGGTACCATTGGCTTATGATCCGTTTGTAACCGGACATGTCCCATCCCTTGGATGTAGCGAGCAAAACGTTCGCAGGCCCAGACCAACGCCAGACACTCCTTTTCAATCTGTGAATATCTCTTCTCAGCATCGCTAAGTGTGCGCGAGCAAAAGGCAACAGGACGCAGCTCCCCCTCATGGTCTTGTAACAGAGCAGCACGGAGGCCATAACTGCTGGCATCGGCGCTGACCACTGTTGGCTTGTTGGTGTCGTAATAGCAGAGGGCTGGCGCAGCTATGAGCATTGCTTTAGCCTTGTTGAACGCTCGCTCCTGGGGTTCATCCCAAATCCATACAGTCTCTTTCTTGAGCAGATTAGTCAGTGGATACAGCACTGTGGACAAACCTGGCAGGAATTTCCCGACATAGTTCACTAGCCCAAGCACCTGTCTCAGTTGCTCCACATTTGACGGACGTGGCATCTTAGTAATAGCATCCACCTTACTCTCACATCAGGCTTTACACCATCAGCACTAATGATGTAGTTCAGTTTTCCCAAAGTGACATTTGGCCCTGTTCAACTTAAGACCGGACGCCTTGATCGTCCGCAACACTGCATCGAGTCGGTGGTCGTGTTGCTCCTTAGTAGATCCGTAGACCAGAATATCGTCCATCACGACAACAGTTCCTTCCAGGTACTTGAGTAGATTACTCATCAGTCGCTGGAAAATCTCAGGAGCAGATGTAATCCCGAATGGTAAGCGTGTGAAGCAAAACCGGCCCATCGGGATAATAAATGTGGTCAGTCTTTGGCAGCTGAGGTCCAATGGAATTTGCCAAAACCCACTAGAGGCATCCAGGGTGGAGAAAATCTTGGCTCCAGTCAGTTTAGGTGTTATGTCATCTAATGTAGGTAAAATGTAGCGTTCGTGCTTAACCCCCTTGTTCAATCGCTTTAAATCTACACACACTCTGACTTCATCCTTATTGCGCTTTGGTGCAGGTACCATTGGGGCACACCAATCTGTTGGTTCAGTGACCTCCTCAATGATCCCAAGGTTTAGCATCTGCTTTAGTTCTTTCTCCACCTTTGGAAGGAGGGGAAAAGGGACTTGGCGTGGTGTATTGATGCTATATGGAATTGCCTCTTCCGTCAGCTCAATTTTAACAGGCGCACAGTTCAGTAGTCCTATTTCCCCGAACACGTCACTGGATAACAAATAGTCACCACCAATAGCATTGACCCACTTGACCAGTCCCATTTGCTTTGCCACTGGTCTGCCTAATAGGTTACTGACAAATTGTCCTTTAATAACTGTAATCCAGTACTGGTATCTCTGCCCATTGTGTGTGGTGGTAGCGAGGAACATACCCACACATCTGACCTTTCCACCTGGACTGTACACTGTTGATCTGGACTTATGCAGCTTTGGTTTTTGCCGTAGATTATTGAAAGTTGCGTCTGTCATGACTGTGGTATCAGCACCAGTGTCAATTTTAAAATCCACTGGGCTACCGTTCACCAGCAGCTCAATGTCCCAGTCAATGTCTGGATCCGACTCCTCAATGACATTTGACTTTACTGTTGCTCTAAGGAACAGTTCACCACTAAAGAATGAATCCATAACAGCTCCAGCTCTGACTTGTTTTAGCATTTTAGTTTTACACACAGCCTTGAAAAGTCCCATTTTGTTACACTTCCTGCATCTTTTATTTCGGGCAGGACAATTTTCAGTTCATGCTGCATAATTGATACTGTAAGCCTTTCTTACGGTGGCCGCCGTACTTTCTGCTTTAATACAAGCTTATAAGGTTTTTCCATGGACTATGGAGTTATTATCGCGGAGTAATAAGTCATCTGATTGTGTCTCCATTGTGTTCGTGTTTGAATGGTTTAAAGTGCTGCTTTCTGTTCCATCTGAGCCTTAACAGACATAAACATGCAGTAAATAAATCGATTTTCAATCAGTTTTTTGCACCAAAGCGTTAATAATAATAAACACGTTTTCACTGAGGCTGAGCAATATGAATGAAATAAGTAATTATTGATATGACAGGAGCAGCGGCTTTGACACCTGGTGGTGGGCGTGTCGATGTGGGAGTGACGTCATGAAGTATGAATGGGAAGGTGACGCTGCTGGCTGTGTGTGTGAGGCAGCGGGTGAGCTGGGGGTCAGTCCTGCAAAGTTTGAAGCATAATAATCAAATTAAATAA